CAGTCCAAATAAATACACCCAAAATTGTACAGTAATTCGCATAGGAACTAACGTAAAAAAAGCAACACAAACATGGCTGTAAGGATTTTTTTTTCCTTGACAACTATTTTTTTTTGCAAGGTACATGGAAAAATTTGGAAAGACTATGCAGTAAGAAACAAAAGCTGTCCATCCCTTAAAAAAGAAAAAAAAAAGAAAAAGAAAAAAGGCTGAGTATAATATGTTAAATTTAATTTAATAAATATAGGATTTGAATCGCACGAAGTTAAAAGAAAAAAAAAAAAGTTTTCGAAGCCAGTCAAATCAAGTAACAGCTGTCCAGTTAAAACCTAGCAGCAAATTATACGCTACTTATTCAAAACATACCGTCAAAAACACAAAACCTAATTACAACAATAATAAAACGACCATGTCAGATCCTCTTTCGAGTCTCGCAGTATATCCTTCATTAATCTACAACATTTCCACAGCAACTAAACACACCTCTTCTACTCAATGATGGAGTCAAATTCTTTTCCAAATATTATGGTATATGTTTAACAAATCCTCGAAATTTTCTCGGCAACCAAACACAATCTCTCCTAGGCTAATCACGATTTCAAAAGATCTTTTGAACTGTGTGGTATATCCTTCGCTAATATATATATATATATATATTGTCGGCAACCAAGCACAACATCTTCTACATTTGAAGTAACCATATCAGATCTAAACGCCAAATTTCCGGCGAGGTTAGATCGCTTACCTTGGAATAGAGAGGCTGAACGAACCCTAGCGATACCAACGAACACAATAAGTTTGACAAAGAACGGGTCTTTTTCATCAAATAGAGTTTGACACAGGAAAAATCAAAACACGAAACAACTCAAACGGTTTGCACCGAGTGGACCTCAAAAAAATGTATTTACCGTTTCTCACTCCATTCCATGCTCCTGCCTTCCCTCCTCTATATACACCCCCTCCCATTACACCCCTCCCACATCTTCATACTCTCAACCAGGAACCACGAAACTATTCTCTTCTTCTGTCTCCAAGCAACAATTCAACACCCGTATTCCATTAATTAACAGAGGAATTTTCAGATGAGGACTGTCTTCTCTAAGTCACCGTCGCCGGCGAGGACTACCCCACCACCTTCGCCGCCCCGCCAGACATTTTCAGAGTCCTTAATGGACGAGGACATCGAGGTGGCTCAGTCGATAATTACTAAATGGGACTC